TATAAACTCATGGTGGATTTTAGGTACCCTAGGATGATAACCTCATAATGTTTCCTCCACAAGATTTTTAGTATATTGAACCACATTTCCAACAGCATCAATTTCATAATTGATTATGCATCATTACAGTTTTTGCAGGGAACCAATAGCTGTAGGCTTTTCCTGTCAGAATTGCATGGTTGAAATAAAGACACTGTAACTTGACTGGAGAAACTCAAAATTAAGTGCCGTTTGTTATGTATGAAAATAGATTCATAGACATTTAACTTGTAAATTATTCCAGTTCCATTTATACTCAAATCACTTGATCCCAAAGATGACATAAAATCTGTCCTGAAAGAGAACGTTTATAGTGATCTTGTAAATTTGTTGGGAATTTTGAATAGGTAATGATTTGAATCTCCAAATGAATCCTTCCTTAGATATTTAGCACGTTAATTTTGATTTCACTTTCTCTATTGATCTGTCTTATATGTGTTATAGATCTCAAGTTATGGTTTCATGTAAGTCTACCTTTGTTGACTCTCTGAAACGTGTGATAGATCTGGAATTTCATAGTGATGGTTATGATGACACTATGAATTTATGATCAATTCTTGTAGACTCAGACCATGAATTCAGGAATATTTCCTTCATGTGAGTACTAATGTTCTAAATGGAATTTTTAATGAAATAAAGTTCTTAATTGTTTGATATATACATTTCAAGATATGATTACTTTGGTTAACAATACTAGTGCTGCAATTTTGCACTGGCACTTGAAAGGATTCATTAACTTTGAGGTCAATTTTAGGCAGACTGAGGTTCAATTCTAATGCCATGAACCTCATTAGAATACAATGAGTGTGTTTGCATAGGAGATTATGGATAAACTTTTGAGAAAAAAAAAAAAAATCCTGCCACATTTTTTGATGTGATGTATGCCAAATAAAAAAGTAATTAAAAGTGTATTGACAATACAAGGAAATCAATGTACGTAAATAAAGTGTAAATAATGTGCAATCCAAATGAAATACTTTTCTATCTAGTTTCTAACCATATTAAGCATATAACCCTGGGACTTGAATGTATCAACGTATGCTCAATGCAATTAGAACTACCGAACACTAAGCTTTACCCCTGAATTTTTGCCAGTTCGATAATAACTTTCAATGAGTTTACTAGAATGCTGGCATTCTAGTTTTGACTTGTCATTAACAAATATTAGTAATTTGATCTTTTATTTTCTAATTTTTTTTCTTCATTCTCAATGCATAATTTATTGAGGTGAAAGCTATGTGGATTATTGCCAATACTGAATTTGGTAGCACAATGTGTTGCTCATTTGGTTGTCTTAATTCACTTTTAAACTTATATATAAATGCTATTGGAGTCCGAGTTTACTTTACTACACGGGCCAATATTGCTCGAGATATTCATATTATTGAACTTGACATCATCATATTATGTTACTGTTGAAGTGTTGACAGTAATTGACATGTATTGAAAATTATTTGTGCGTGCTTGTAAACTCGGTTGTATATTTTATCACATTGGAGAGAACTGGGCTGTACCATGTGTAGATTGGATATATCGACCCGTAACAGAGTTGATCAAGATGGTCTCGCCACTGTGATTTCGCTATCCACTTATTAGTTGGGATGGCCAGTGAGTTGTGGGTGAGTGACGTGTGGCCACTTGGAGTTTGGATATGCAAATGACAAAGGTTTGGAGTCAGAGATTGTTATATTTGTAGGAGTTAGAACTGCATGTACTATTAACTACTGTGCAGGATTAAGTGCTATGTTCCAAAAACGACTAGAGCCACCTCTAGAGCTCATAAAAGTCATGAATATATACCTGAAATTAAATATTGAACAGGGCAACCTTTAAAACCCGTGTTAATACCTGTATTTTTCTCTCACGTGTTAAATTCTTTGTTTGACTCCTTTATGCAATTGTGATGATTTGGTGAAATTAACCGTGCATCAACTCAATAAACATTGTTGAACTTTCTGACCTTGATATAAGCTATTGAAAAGTGCATATGCAAATAAATTTTAGAGATTCAATTGTTTTGCAACCTAGAACCTCATTGGGCATAAGTTCATGTTATTTGTTTCCAATTTGTTTTTCCTTAGGTGAGAGAGAATGAAAGTCGGAGGAGTAGATGGCAAAGAAGGGCGCGGAAGTATTTATAATTTGGAAGACTAGGGGGAGGCCCGTGCTAAACGTGGGAATTTTAACTTGTGTTATGAAATATTTATTCAGATAAATTTATTAAAAAACATAGTAAAATTAGAACTGAATGGTAATAGGTTTAATTGAATCGGTCGAAGTGTATGGAATTATAAGTAAATTGGTCAAATCAACAAACTTATAATGGAAAACCAATTTATAAGCAAAAGAAATAGGATTATCGTAGATAATCACACCATACTATTATAAATAATAATCATAACAAAGACTTCATTGCCTTTATTACTATACCATTATAACACAATCATGGCCATATCCAATCAACAATTAACATGTAAACTATAAGGTCAGATTTAGATCCTACCTTGATCATGAAATTGTAGTCAAAAGATAATTTTTGCTCATAATTTGACCACCTACCGCCACAAACATCAAATTTTGGAAATATAGTTAGAAAATGTAGGAAAGTTCCTATTAATATTCATGGGTATTGATAAGTATGCATCATGTATTCCATAATGAAATTTTCATATTCATATAATACTAAAAAAAAATATTGCAGTAGAAAACTCACAGTTTCGATTGTATCAGCTAAACATCTAAAATTGCAGAAAGAGAGAAAGTAAATGAACATAAATGTCCAAACACCCACTACAAAATATGGAGCACAAGCACTTGAAGCAACATTTTTCAATATAAAAAGCCTATATTATTGTCAGGAAGTTGACGAGTACTGAATTATATTTGTAACGGATTGAAAATATGAACTAGAACCAATCATCTTCATTATTAGGAGCTTCCCAAACCAATCATCTTCAGCATTAACACCCTCTCTTATTATACCTATAAAAACTGCCCAACAATTATAGAAGAAGATGAAGAGCACTATAATTACTTATGAGTGATTTAAACTGCACTTCAAAACTTGATAATCATGTGGAAAACAAACCAATTGCATATGATTGGACACAATACTCAAACCGTATTGAATTAGATATTACAATGTTGTACATTTGGTTTAATCACTTGTATTTGATTTTTTTCTGCCTAAATTATCCCAAAAGATGACGGATGAAAATTTTTCAACAGTCACCTATAAACTCCTTTTTACATATGTATAGGATTCTAATTTGCTATATTAGAAGTTTTGAACGAAGTGTTAAATTGTAGTGTGTAATTCAATGTTTTGTTTTGACTACCAATTAAGGGGATAAAGTGAGAAAAATAAATTCATTAGGGATAAATTGTAAAACATACCAAACTTTAGAGGAAATTGTTGTAATTAACACTTAATTTAAAGTTAGAGAACTTTTAGCACGTTTTCAAAGCCAAAAGGTTCAAATGGTGGAAGGTTACTTGTGTAATGAAATGTGGCAATTTTCAAACCTTTTGTGTGATCACTCAATTACACTTTCACATTACCAATTAACTTTCACTTCAATTGTCTAAATACATATTGTCTGCATAATTGTCCATAAGCATTGTGACCACTAAAGTAATTAAAATTCTATTAAAAAAACTATTAAAAGATCAATAATGTTTACGTTTGTTTTTGTGTATGAAAATGAAAGTTTTACACTGAATTCTTCCATATAAAAAATTGTTCCTAAATTGCAATAATTGAATGTGAATTGCCCACAGCCCAAGCCCGGACATCATCAGATAAGAGTCTGCAACAGGTTATCAAGATTAAGGACTTAATTGTAAAATGTGGAAATTGTTAGACTTTGAGACAATTAGTGGAAAATAGCAACTTTCGGTTAGTTAGAAATTGGAACTGATTCTGAACTTTATTCCTATACGAACATCCAATTTGTAACAGAATAGGCGGTTGACGAATTACATAACTTCATTTTCTTTTCTCTCAATTTAATTTTCTTTCCAGATAGTTCTTGCTCTTCGAGGCCTCAACTCTTAATCAAGAAACCAGGTCCGGGTCCTTCTTTTTCCTCAAAATTTCCTACTTAGAACCCTAATTTCTCTCTTTTTCCTAAAAAGGAACTGTATAGGAAATAGATTGTCAGGAGGAAAAGGAACTGTATATGTAGCGTAGAAAATTCTCCGCGGCGGCGATTCGCTGCCTTTTGATGAACTCACGTCGCAATTCATGTCCGAAGTCCAGCCTTCTAACATCGTCGACTACTGTGGCAGCATCTCAACTAGGTTTTTCTTTGTTTCTAATCTCTCTCTCAATTAGGTTTATTCTTTTTATCTTTTTCTTGTTCGATAAGAGCCTGTAAAATCTGGTAAATGGCCCGTCCTTCCGTGTTATTGATTAGGTTTTCTGTAAGCAAATTAAGAGTGGCAGTGTAATAAGCTTTGTAGTTGGGATAAAGGAATTCAGTTTTAATGATTTTAATGAAGAGTTAGTCCGTAAGGATTTATTTAGAAAATTTTGTACTATTTTTTTTATTACCTCTTTGTATGCTCAGATGTCTTGTGGATTAGTAGAAAATTTCAGTTCTTTAGTATTTCTGTGTTTGATTGGCGCTGTCGATGCTCAAATATCTGGCGGATTGTGGATTGATTGACATTTGATTGCTAATTAGGATCTTATTCAGTAAGTAAATGGATGATTACATCTGGACTCGTTTTCTTTGGGTAGATTGTTGGAGTTCTGTTTGATCTTCTTCGCATGTTATTGTTTTCAGTTACGATTTATGTGAGGATGGATATTTTGTGAAATTAGGAGTTGACATTCTGATGAAAACTATTGTCTTGGAATGCATTCGTTTATACCATCTAGAAAGCTCATCGCTAATTTGCGTTTAATTCATGCAACATAGACAGTCAGGAGTCCGTTAGTGGAAGTTGTTGCCATCATGAAGGTAATCAAGTAATTGGTGATTGGATAAGCAGTTCAAAGTTTGGGGCAATGGAAGTTGACTTTGAGAATAAATTCAGTGGAATAGATAAAATGTCTTCTAACTCTTTGTTTGTTTACGTATGCCATGGTTGATGATTTTATAATTTAGCAATATATTTACTCTCAGTACTCTTTTTGGCTTGTGAATAAAAACGAAAATAAGAAGGTTAAATTTTTTTTCTCCTAGCATTTTTTATTCTCTTAATATTTGGAATTCTAATCATCAATGATTGCATGTTCTGTTATTGCAGAATATAGACCTTAGTCCAACAGAGCATCTGGTTGGATTTGCAATTCTCCACCAGGCATATTCTTCCCAGCAGACTAGTTTGCACCCACACATTTCTCTGCTTGTGGAAGTAAGTATGCACATGTCTTCTCCTCATTGTATTTTTTATTCTCAGGGATTTGTTTATGCTCTTTTAATGGCCAATTTTTAATAATCATGCGCTGTGTAAGATGGTTCAGCTGTGCAGTGTGCACATCAAATGCATTTTTTACTTTTTTATTCAGCGGTTGTAGAAAAGCTGACAGTAGTATTTTCAATTAACGTTTTTATGGAGTGCTAAGAGTCATTGGACTGTCTGTCGTATGAAACACTGATAGTCTGGTGAATTTACATAATCACATGAACCTGATGTGGATGCCTATTCATTACTGTGGGAAAGACTGCTTTTGAAAGCCTATATTTGCTTCTAGAATAAGAAATTGTTGACAAATTAATAGTAACAAATCCTCTCATATAGGCTATGTGATGTTGGCCTTTGTGAATTTCTGAGGCTTAAAATGACTTTTGTCATGTCGGCTTGTGATATCTCATCTTGCATAATCACATGAACCTGATGTGGATGCCTATTCATTACTGTGGGAAAGACTGCTTTTCAAAGCCTATTTTTGCTTCTAGAATAAGAAATTGTTGACAAATTAATAGTAACAAATCCTCTCATATAGGCTATGTGATGTTGGCCTTTGTGAATTTCTGAGGCTTAAAATGACTTTTACATGTCGGCTTGTGATATCACATCTTGCATTATCACATATGATTTATATACTAAGTTTAGTATAAAATGGATGTGTAGTTGCTGGACTAGTATCTGGCTCCCCCTTTCCACGTACACTGAAAGAAAAGCAAACAGAGAAGAGACAATAAATTGGAAATTTGCCTTAAGGGAGATGTTTATATTTTCTGATATGACATTTTTGTTATCCATTTAATGCTGCAGATTTGACTGTTGCAATAACTTTACTGTCTTGCTATGGAATGTTATTGGTGATGGTTGACTTTCATATTTCCTCCTGCTATTGTGGGTTTGTAGGCAGCATCCAATGAAGAAGCTGAAAAATTTGAAAGAGGTTTTATTCTTCAGTTGTTAGGCTACACCAGCTCTACAAATACATCAGAGGTATTGCTTAATGATCCAATTTGCGTGTCTAGCTTTATGGGGTTGAGAAGCTCTAATGATTCTGTCTTTGTCAGCTTCTAATCATTATTGCTCAAGTTGATCTAGGAAGGCATGTGCTAGTGGCTTTTCTGTCTTCTAATGCTTCTAATTCTAGGTTATTTTGGAAATTTTGGACTATGAATTGTCTGTTCCAGCGACATTTAGTGTGTATTTTTCATTTAAATCTAGGGTGTTGGCAAAAGTATATTTTAGGAAAATCTGCCTAAAACTTGTAGCATATTTGTTATTGTTGGACAGTCAGAAGCATAAGGTATTGATTAAGTACGTTGACCAGAAGCAGTTGAAGTACATTAAGAAAAAAAAAAGAACACATTACTGGCTGGTTTTTACGCGTACACTTTTTAGATGAGGCAGTTATTGAATTCTTACATTCCTGGATCTTGTGTCCTGCAAAATTTGCAGGATGATTTTGCAGGAAAAAAGTTTGTTGCACAGAATATTCTCAATAAATACTCATTGACTGCCTGTTTTCTCTAAAGTTTTTCTTGTTAAACAAACTTGCACAAGAAAGTGATTTCTCTTTACTTTCCTTCATTTTAGCTTCCCATAAATAGAGCCTTTAAGGAACTTTTTTGGACTCAGGATGATGATTTCAACAAACAAGTAGCACAGTGGATGTGTTTAGCGTGGATGATGATTTAGAATTGTTCATGTTTTTAGAGGGAATAAATAAGTGATACTCTGAACAATGACTCTCTCTCTCTCTCTCTCTCTCTCTCTCTCTTGCTGTTACCCACATAAGATAAAATTGGGAAGTGTTCCAATTGTATTTCTTCTCTCTTTTCTTGTTTTAGCTTATATTTTTTGTAATCTCTGGCGTTGTCCACGCCAACTTACAAGCTCATGTGATAAGAGACTAAAAGTCTTTGGCTACCCCTGTAGTGACAAATGGTTTATCGGCTGCACATATTTCAAGCACATCATATCAATTTTGTAGTTGTTCCTCCTACAAATGCTTTTTATTAAGTGATGCAAAGCAGAAAATTCCTCCTTTATGTTGAGAGAAATATCCCTTACAGTTTCTTTTGTTTTTTCCCTGCTTTTTTCTTTTTTCTTGGACAAATATTTCGTTCCTCTATTTGGATAATTGAAGATCTGTGCGTTGACTGTGCAACTGGAGCTAATCCATCTATAGAAATTTCATGATCCTCTAGTTATCCATGGAGTGTTTATTTTTTATTCTAGGCTCAAAATAATTTTTCTGTTGGCTTTTCTTGATGCAGTTCCTGAAATTGTCTGCTGCGGACTACATAAGAAACTTTGATCCTTCATTGCACGTGAGTCATGTATTTTATCATAACATCAGACTTTACATTTTCTCAACTAATATGTCCTGATATGAATTTGTCAGACTTTTCCTCCTAGAGAGCAGCTGCAGCAGCAGTATTGTAGTGAAGCTGGCCTAGTCATTTGAACCTACTAAAGTTTCAACTGTTGAGGATTTGATTGCTAAAGGTTTGAAGGGGCCTCTTGAACCTGTTGAAGAAGAGGTGTTTATACTGTCATATCAATTTATGTGGTGTTTAAAATTGAAACCTATTATATGCTGTGGAAAGTGATTGCTAAAATTTCATATCCAAACTGTTATCCAGCAAATCTTATTGGGGTTGACAGCAAAAGAGCTAAAAGACAAGCTGCCAAAAGGAGATCTGCCAGTATGTTGTTTTATGGGCCTATTAATGTCTTCTATGTTTTTTTTTTTTGATACCTAAGAGCTTTTGTATTTGGTCATCAGGAACTGGCGAAGAATAATCCTGACCTTGCTCTTCAAGTTCTCTTTAAGTTTCAAGATTTAGATGAAATTTCAGAGTATGTTCATGGTTTGTTTGAACTTTTAGAAAATTATTATTTTATAAGAATGGTAATGATGAATTTATTTTGGAATGCAGCTATTATGATGTTCTTTATGGTATGGATGTGAACTCTAACTTGATAGAAATGGTTAACAAGCTTCCTAAAGATGTTAAACCTACTAAACTTGGATTATTAAAGCCGTGGATAGAACGTGGTTCAACTTTCTGGAAAGGCAATAGAACGTGGTTCAACTTTCTGGAAAGGCATCAAGGTCCTTACTCAACTATCTACTGTATTTACACAATTTCCTCTATCCCTTTTATGTGTATAATTAACTCTTCACATCGTGTTTCTTATATAATCTGTTGCAGGATGGTGATCCTGAAACAGCATTTGACCTTCTCTTTCAGCTTGCAGAATTCCCTGGCATGGGAGAGTATGGTCTAAATTCATCTGATCATATGAAAATTAGAACCTGAAGTTATCTATGCTAATGTGACAAAATTGTCTAAATGTAGGGAATTGACCAGGCTTGTTAATTCAGATTTGATTGATAAACGTTTGAAAGGTTTTAAACCCCCACCTGAATTCATTCGGAATTTCATAAAAAGCTGTTTGCCATCCACAGCTGAACCCACGGTGATCATTTGCTTATTTACTGTGTCTATTTTTGTAAGCTCTTTTCCCTTCCTTTGAGAGTTGGTGAACTAGATAATGATTGAATTTATCTTTTTCAGGATACGTCTCATCAAGCAAGATTGGTACTGTACTTCTTGAATAAACTGATCGACAAAGACATTATCAAGGGTAACTATCCTTGCTTAAAGTTTTAACGTGTGAATCTTACTTATCCTAGAGCTAGGAGTTTGCAATTGAGATTCTAATTGAGTTCCATTGATTTGGTCCACTTATTTGTTTCCTGATTGGACTGATTATTTTGTGGTAGTAGTTGTGTTGGGAGTTGTGGGCTGCTCTAATTGAGTTAATTTTTGCATTTGTTCTTGGTGGTTGTTTTCTGAAGGTGATTATTTTACTGTTAGGTTGGGCTGCGTTTTTTATAGCTTCTGGCTTTTATTTTTTGGTATCCAAAGTAGCTCAGAATTGATTAATCATTTTCTTTTTTTTTTTAAAGTCTGAGATTTGGTGGTTCCCTGACTATTTGGGTTGGTTTTTGTCTTTTAATTTGTTATTTTGTTGTTGCATGTCTTGTTTGTAGATGGTTTCATATGTAAAACTTGCAGTTTTGGGTTTTATCTGATTAGAGCCCTTTGTTTTTCTGTGCTTGATTAAGAAGTCTAGGTTGAAGTATGTATTGTCTTTGTTAAATTTCATCAAGTAGAGTGTTGAGAAGGATGAATCTTGGTGCAATTGTTTTTTCTTCGGGCAGAGGTTTTATACATCAGAAGAGGGTTTGTTCAAATTAGAAATAAAGTTCTCAGGGTGTGGTTGAATTCAAAGCCATAATTTACAGATAGATAGTATGTGCAAGTCTTATGTGTTTCTAATATGCATAATTCTTCGGTCTTTGTGATCTTCATTGGTATTCTCAGGGTGTGGTTTTTGGGTGGGTTCTTAGAGAGTTAGTTATTTTGGACTGCCTGGAGATGACATAGGATTAGTTATTATTCAGTTGCCATTCTAACTTTTGCCCAACATGGGGAACTTGAATTTAATTGCTTGGACTCCTTGATCCTTTTGACATTTGTGGGTTTGCATTCCTGATTTGTTCATCTGATTGTCGAGATGGTTTGTAGAACATTTCTCTTTTCAAATAACAGTGCTGGATTTTGTGAAGTTAGATTAAGTTGCTTTAAAACCACTATTATCCATAACATGGAAAAGCATAGAGACCTTTGGGACTAGATGAGTGACACAATTTTGGATTGATAGACTATGCTTAAATCGTACAAATCAATCTACAAGCCTCATGTTTAATTAATCATATGAATTATTTTGTAATTCTCATTGTCTTTGAGCCGAAAACTTTCCAGTATTGCATGTTATCATTCTAGAGGCTAGAATATGTTAGTGACTTTAAGTGCGTATGGTGGTCTTCATTTTGTCTCTGTTAATTTATTGCAATGATGCTGTGCTTTTCCGTTTTGAATTTATTCAGTTATTTATTCAGTTGGAGGAAATATTTCCTTTCCTTTTTTCCTCCCTTAATTTATTTAGTAAGCTGACATATGCCTCCTTAATGTATTCAGGTGGAGAAAGCAATTTCTTCTTTTATTAATTTATGTCATTGTTTTTCAGGTTCTGTTTATCCAAGTCCAAGATAAGGATAGCGTTGAAAATCTGTGAATCAGTGGTCAATTTATGAAGAAATTCATCTTTTTTTCCTTCCCCTTCCCCTTCCCCTTCCCTTCCGTTTAAATACATTATTTACTTCTTACCTTTCTGTCTATATATTTTTCTGAATTAGTGTCGGAGGTAAGCGTTTCAATATCTTCAGATGAAGAAAAGAAGAAAACGAGATTCTATCACGACGTGCTTGGGAGAAAGTAATTAAATGCATTGGTTGTGTGCATATGGGCGGTCTTCATTTTTGTTTTTTTTGTTCCCCTTAGTTTATTGCAAAGGTGCTTAGCTTTTCATTCTTAATTTATTCAATTGGAGGTAATAGTTCCATTAATTAATTATTTCTTCCCTTAATTTATTTATATGAAACTCACATATGCCTCCTTAATTTATTCAGATGAAGTTCACATGTCTCCTTAATTTATTCAGGTGAGGGAGCTTCTTCCAAGCTTCTTTCATGAGGGTAATGGCTGGGTTTATTTGATCTAAAAAACCTGTAAATCAATGGTCCATTTATGAAGAATTTATCTTTTTCCTCTACCCTTTCCCTTTATATGTCTTACCTCTCTCTGTCTTTTATTTTTATTTTGAATTGGTATCAGGAGGTAAGCTTGTTCCTCTCCCTCATCCTTAGCATTGTTTAGCTAAATTTGATGTTTGGTTTAATTTTTTCTATGGAACCAGAGCCTCATGTTAGGGACTTCTCAACGCTCATTGAAAAAAAAAAAAATCATTTTGTTGTTTGAACTGGTAGAGTGGGCCAAAAGGTTCTGGCCGAAGATGGACATTTGACTAGAGTCGTTGAAACTGTTGTTTTCGACTGGTCGGACGTGGACATTTGACATGTACTTTTTGACCATATACATTCATCAGCATTCCTTCATAGAGTTTAGCTTAGCATGTTGTTAGCAAGTGTTCAAAACTGTGACGTATGATGAGGAGAGACGAGTAACTGTGACGTATTTTGCGATGCTTGCATTTTGATGAATTTGTTGTTTTTACATGACTTCTGATATTTTCTCGAGAAAATGTCAGTAAAAGGTTCCCAAATATTATGATTTGATTAACAAATTGGTAATATCTTGGATTCAATCATTACCAAGGGCACCATTCCCCCTTTTTCGTAGGATAATATTTTTTTCTGATTCCTTTTGGTCTTTTTAGTTTTTGACTGGTATAATAAATTCAGTCTACAAATGGTTGATCTATTGCCTTGTTTGACCGTAACATTGTCTCTTTGTTAATTCCAGAAGCAGAGGGAAAAATTATACATATATAGGAGAGAGCTATTGTACCAAATTCATCAAAATTATACATAATTTCAGAACCTTTTGGCTCACTCTACTAGTTCAAACAACAAGAGGGTTTTTCTTTTTTCAACGAACGTTGAGAAGTCCCTGACATGAGGCCTCGGTTCCATAGAAAAAAATAAACCAAATATCAAATTTAGCTAAACAATGCTAAGGATGAGGGAAAGGAACAAGCTTATCTCCTGATATCAATTCAGAATAAAGATAAAAGACAGAGAGAGGTAAGACATATAAAGGGGAAGGGTAGAGGAAAAAGATAAATTTTTGATAAATGGACCATTGATTTACAGGTTTTTTGGACCAAATAAACCTAGTCACTACCCTCATGAAAGAAATTTGGAAAAAGCTCCCTCCACTTGAATAAATTAAGGAGGCATATGTGAGCTTCATCTAAATAAATTAAGGGAGGAAATAATTAATTAATGGAACTATTACCTCCAAGTGAATAAATTAAGAATGAAAAGCTAAGCATCTTTGCAATAAACTAGGGGGAAAAAAATAAAATAAAATGAAGACCACCCATATGCACACAATCAATGCATTTAATTATTTTTCCCAAGCATGTCGTGATAGAATCTCGTTCTCTTCTTTTCTTCGTCTGAAGATATTGAAAAACTTGCCTCTGACACCAACTCAGAAAAATATATAGACAGAAAGGTAAGAAGTAAATAATGTATTTATAGGGAAGGGAAGGAAAAGGTGGAAGAGGAAGGGAAAAAAGATGAATTTCTCTATAAATGGACCATTGATTCACAGATTTTCAACGTTATCCTTATCTTGGATTTGGATAAATAGAACTCTTGATAATGTCTTTGTCGATCAGCTTATTCAAGAAGTACAGTACCAATCTTGCTTGATGAGATGTATCCGTGAGTTCAGCTGTGGATGACAAACAACTTTTTATGAAATTTCAAATGAATTCAGGTGGGGGTTTAAAACCTTGCAAACGCTTATCAAACAAATCTGAATTAACAAGTCTGATCAATTCCTCTCCCATGCCAGTGAATTTTGCAAGTTGAAAGAGAAGGTCAAATGCTGTTTCAGGATCATTATAATGAAGCCTGCGTGTGAATCATTATAATAAATAACTTGGATAAAAAAAAAGTCTGCAAATTGATACTTGAAATTACATATGATTTTGGGTTTAAATTTCCCCCCTTCTTCCCAACTTCTTAATTTCTGCCCCCCTCATGCTAGGGTGGGGGACAAAAATAAAACTGGAAACTATATCTACTAGTCTCATGCTAGGACAAAAACCACCTTGAAACTACAGTTTCAAAAACTTTTTCAGTATATTTAAGTAGGTAAATTATTACTAAATAATTTTATTTTATGGCTTCCATTAATTCCATCTTTACACTTTATGGACGAAAAATCACCAAGATCAAAACAGTAATGCAATTTTCTTTGTTGACGTTGAGACCATTATTAGAACTAATTTCATTTCAGGTCTTCTAGCTTCTAGCTAATTCTCCATGTATGTCGTCAATTTTAACTTGGATGCATTGCATGCTAAACTTTTTACATCTTCCTTTTTTTTTTATTTGTTATCGTGGGGGAGGTCCAACTAGACTAAAAAATATTAGAGGGAGTGATTTCCACCTCTAAATCAAAAGGATACACTGTTGCACACCCTTCGATTTTTATATCTTTCTCATTTTGATCGAATTGTTAACAATATTAGGAAATTAAGGGAATGTTTAGCACGTGCATAGCACATCCCTAATAGATAGCAAGTCAAATTTTATTGTGGACCACTTGCCTATTACTCGTTTCCTTTGGCTATTCATTTTTAGATTTTGAGATTAAGACCCTAACTCTTGGTTTGTCGATAGTGTAAGCTTCAATATATTAGTTGATCTTTCTTTGAATCTGCAATTCAAGAGCAAAAAAAAAAAATTCCTTCAATGTATTAGTCAATCTTTCTTTAAATTTGCAATTCAGGAGCTAAAAAAGAAAGAAAAATTTCCCCTTCAAAAGTTATGGTCAACCACAGGCTAAATCCTAAGAATATAAAAGGACGAGTAGGTCTTATGAACAGTACTGTGGTCCCCTATCAGCATCTTTGCTATGTGGATATTTATGAAATTTCAACTAAGCAAAAAGGGGGCAATTGTGGAGGTCGGAGGTCAAGGGTTCGATCTTTGTCTTCCACCAGTCACTATTTATGGCTTTCCCCTCTCCCTTCCCCTAGATTAGATTAGAATAGGTTATACAAATAGTTATCGTTACTGGCAAAAAAAAGGGGGTGGGGCAATCATGGGATTTTCGATCAATTGTGCCTTTATCATCTTACAAACTCTCTCTCACGTTGACAAATGTCGCAATTGCAAGCCATTGATTGAATCCCCCTTTCTCTTAGGGTCGTCTTTTGCCACAAGCTAAATGTATACATCAAGTCAAAGATGATTCAGAAGAAAAATTTTGCACGCATGCTATATCGACATGGCCACAGTTTCAAAACCATTGGCTCTAGTTTAAAAGTTGAGGGTTTTAATTCTTCTGAAAGGTGGAACTAGTACTAACCCTTATAATGACGATTATGGTTACGGTTCTTGAAACCTCCAGTTTGGGTCTAGTTATGGTTTTGATTTCTTTTGATTACGGTTCATTCTTTTAATTATGCTTAAATACTTGTTATTATGAAGTTGGTTCTAAGTAAATATGACAATGAATATTTTAAAAAAAAATATGAATTTTATTATATTATCATGTGACCAGGAAAAAGAAAATATGCATATTTTATGAAAAGAAATACCTTTTATATTGAATGTTTTAAATAAAATTTAAAAAAATACATAGTTCTCTCATTGTTGAAATAGAGAAAAGGAAAAAAATCTTAATTAATTAATCATCATCATAATGGCTAGTTGATAGGTATGGGGTGTGCATATAAAAATAATCTCGATCTCAAGTTTTAAATTTGTAATTTTCTAAATATCCACATGCAACTGCAAGTATACATGTCATGTTCGAATATAGAGTATTAAGGGTTGATCCCATAGGAAAGAGTAATCCATTATCGATGTTATTTGAACTTCTTTATTATTTAGACGCTTACTAATGCGAGAAAGTAAATGTAAACTACAAACATACAATAAAAAGGAAGTAAATCAATAATATAAAGCTCCTAAGGAATGGAATTTCTAACCACTCTTTGCTAGCAATATTACTTGGGTAATTGAACACTAGTACCTTGATTAGTTATGGTTTAATTTTCTTATGAATGTAAAATCTACTCTCGTAATGAATCAACTATACTTATAACAAATTCATTTCTAGTCTCATGGTTATGAAATTAGCTACAAGTTCATGACTTCTATGAAATTATTATAAAACAAGCCACAAAGTTGCATTTTCTACTCTCGTGAGTGTACTCCTTAAGTTTAGCACTTATTTGAACTAATATTGAATTACAACTTTCATTGATAATCCAATATTTTTAAATAATCACAACTAATAGCCAGTTAATCATAATTGTAAGAACAAAAGTGTTAAATAATTAACTCAAAGCAATAGCATCAACTTCCCAAGCAAATCTCACAAACAAATCATAGAAAGTTCATCCAATCCAAGGCATGAAACTTTAGTTAAACATAAAGCAAATGAAAATACAATCCAATCTTGTATTAAAACTACCAAAGGAATCAAATAAAAGAGTTAAAGTGTTAGAAAAGATCAAACCCTTGTCACAAGAGCTCAACTTTTCCATCTTCATTTCCCTTTGCTCCCTTGTTGAGCTAAGAAGCCTAAGGATTTCTAGATTTAGATCTACATTTTGATGGTGTTTTTCTTCCCCTTTTTTCTCTCCAAACTTTGTCCAAGAGGAGTCCCTGTTATAGGGAAAAGAAAAGGCTTAATTATTGTGCAAGTTGCACAAATTGCGCTTCTTTTCTGACTCAAATCCAGTTGACAATCCGTGAACAAAATTGTTGGCTGGTTTTCTCCCCTATTTCTGCTGAAAAATTGCAAAAAAACACTTCGAAAGTGGATCTGCAAGTGGATCCACGGACTTGAGGTCCGCGGATCCATCCGTGGATCCCTTATTTTCCTTTATTCTTCATTAGTCATCTGCTCTCTGCCTACAATCCGTCTAGGAATTTGGGCCCAGATTAATATGAACATTTCTCCATGGAGAAAGCTAAATTATCTCTTGTGCAAAACAAAAAGTTATAGTCCCTTGAGATACTTTCCAATGGCTCAAGAATCAAGTCATTTCGAGATCTGGGGACTAAGTTATGGCCAAAACACTAATGAATGATTAGAAAGCATTGTCGAAGAAAAGTGATTCAGTAATTTGGACTTTAGTCTATGAAAACGCGAGAACTAGATTTTGGTTCTTCATAAGAATTGTAGTCCTTCCTATTAGCTTTAACATGGTTTAAGAATCATCTCAATCCATGCTTTGTAGCTTAAGTTATAGCCAATGTACCAAAATTTATCATTATTGCCATTGCTTTTATTCGTGTTTCTTGCGTGCATTTCATCATTTGGTCTTTCCTGTCACATGATTTTCACTTCAAATCATCAACAATCATGCAAGTATCTTCTCACTTCCCTTCAATTGATGATTGAATTATCAAAACCCATAACAACATGAAATTTCCACACTTAAGTCCATAGAAATGCAAATTTTCTTACTTAACCACAGAATGCAAAACTTAACTAAAAACTTAGGGGCTGCTTGGTTAAAGGGTTTGAGAATCAAATAATGGAATGAACCCCTTATTTGTTGCTTGGATTAAGTCTATTGGAATGCAATTTCTGGAATCATTTCTAAAAAATTGGACTTTCACCATTCCTGAGTAAATTGAGAGGTTTTGGACAAAACTCTCAACTTATTCCCGAGCAAAAACATTTATGACGAACCTACCCTCTTTTTTTTTTTTTTTTTTTCATTACACGCCGCACCTTCTGTTCTTCTTCTTCATCAGATTTTCTACCTCTTCTACTTCACCGATTGGACAATCATAAAGATCAGTGGATTTCGACTCTCCTTGGATAACAAATTCTAGAGTTGAAGAGTCTTCTACTAGGGTGAATTCCTTGATCCCAGGTCAGTGGATTACAAACTCCCTTGCCTCTGCAATTTTCTTTTCGTATGCAAGCTTTTCTCTTTCTTCTTCTCTGTTTTTTCAGGCTACTCACTGGGTAGCTAAAAATAAAGAAGAAAAGAAGGGAATCTGATACAATAACACTAACTGGACCAAAATGCTATGCTCTGGACCCATCACATTCTCACTTTTATTCCACTCACGCTACACAATCTGTCAGTTTTGCAAAAAAGTCTTCCTTCCATGAATTCATATTCTTTTGTCACAAAATCCAATAAGAAATTAATTAAGAAGATTGCTTAGTACTTTACAGATTATTGCCGCAACAAATACACTATTATTGGTGAGAATAATACATGTTTTTAATCCATGTATTTTGTTGTAATACATGTATTTTAATTCACGTACTTCAACAGATGCATTATTTTGTTCTTTTTTTTGGTGAGATAAATGTTAACGTCACTAGATTTGTCATTTTTATGTTTTTAATGTGTTTTCTTGGATTACGCATTCAATGGAGGCCAATCAATTCTTGATCTTTTGGTTATTTGATCCGTGAATACTGGTATAGTTTGGGTGGGTTTCTACATGCCCTGTACCTGTTTGTAAAATTGTCTGCTTGAATAGCTTTCAGTTTCATAGTTATTCGTACATTAGGATTTCAAGTTTCAACCATCAATTTCGTTTGTTTATGCTTATTTATATCTACACATCATTGTGTTTACGGATGTATGATGCATGTCTAGGCCCTTTTAATAAGATCAATTGATGTTTAATGCATTTGAAGATTTTGATGCCGTAATCTAGTTTGGTGAATACTTACGTTTGGTTGTCATATTGTTATGTAGACAAAGATGCCACGTTTGCCTATTGAAAACTGAAGACGCAAAAAATATCGAGGGCAAAGCCAGATTTTATCAGGAATGATAATGGTTGTTATTGCACTGTTTATGATGTGGTACCAGTTAATATTCATTCATCTCAAAAGTAGAAGACGCCAAATAAAATCAAAAGAAGAAAAAGTCACTGAGCGCTTGCAACACTTATTCAATTTGACTAGGGAGAGTGATGCTTATTGTATTAGCGAACTTCGTATGGATAGACGAACATTTGGGATATTATGTGAAATGATTAGAGACACTGGAGGCTTGAAAGCTACAAGAAACATGTCAATAGAAGAAATTGTTGTCATGTTTGTATATGTTTTGGCTCACCACAAGAAAAGTAGAACAATTTGTGGTCTATTTTGGAGAAGTAGAGAAACGGTGAGTCGTCAATT